CAAGTTAATTTCCTCAACTTAGTGTCTGTGATCACGTCTGGAGAACCTTACCTTCTAAAGTAACCTTCACAGGGTCCCGGGATTGGGGCATAGACATATCTTTGGGAGCCACTGTCAGCCTGTCCTAACACACGGTAAGATTCATCTCTGGTAAAGGCATTCAACCACAAGTGCAGTGTGGTTTGATAAAAGTCCTTTAAGTAATACTATAATGAATTCAGAGCTCCATCTGGAGATGCCAGAAGATGTCGTTATTTGAATGTAAAGCTCCTCCCCATGGGGTCAGTTGTCTCCCCGCCTTTCAGCTTTTCCTGTTTCCTCTGCAGATACGGACAAAACTTGTACATGTATCATCCATGCGTTCTTTTTTTTTTTTCTTCATTCTTATCATCAGATCCCAAAGCAACAAATTGCTGTTTGAAAATGCATGGTTTATGTTTATCTTTTCCAGAAGCACTTTTATACACATCTCTACCCTAGTAGTGTTTGCTCTTTCAGAGGCTGGTTTTGTTCCTAAGCAATTAAGATGCTTCCCTATGTTTTGGAATAAATAGTAGTATCTAAGTATTTTGCTCTTCTGTTTATTTCCTATAACAGATATTTACACATCTCCCTCCCATGTTAGATTCTGGACTTCTTGAACCTAGAACCATGTCTCTCTTTATGCCCCATGATGCTTTCCACATGGTAGGTGCTCAATACACTTTTATTAAATAAGTGCAAGAATTAATATACTCAAATGAAATGCTGTTTTGAAAAGTGTATCATCTCTGTCTTAGGTAAGGGCAGTTCCTCAAATTTATTTTTTAATCATTTCATATTCATGTCATAAAAATTGTCTTAAATGAGCAGATCTGTGAATGCAATGTTGATTTGTATACAGGAAACCCATAGGCTAATTTTAATCTGCTGTCTTTCATGAACATAATACTAAGAAATGGTTTCTGTCCCAAATCCTTCATAGGTAGCATGCTGGGAATCACAAAGCATGCTGGGAATACTTGTCAAGGAGAGGTGGGAAGCTAAGAGTGATGCCAGGCAGGGGTCAGGGGACAAATCAAGACCATAGAGTGGGGAGGGAGGCCTAGGCAGAGCTAATCACCGAGACTAAATCAACAAGCCTAGGAAAGTGCAATGAGCCTAAAACTCTCTGGTCTACCATGCATCTTCAAGGTTGTTACTTGAGGTGGCTGCATGAAAGGTAGCAGGTGGGTTCCCCTATGGGTTTATCTCTACCTGTCTCTCAGCCATTGTTGAGCCTTCACCTGAGTCACCACCCCATACTGTGTTTATTCTCTGCATTTTCCAAATGCTTTTCTTCTTCAAACCTGCAAGTTTTAGTGTGAATCCAGCTGCTACCCAGTTCAGCACATGTGATTTTTAAGGAAGTCCACCATTTTTGAACAGATATAAAATAACCCTGAATAAAACGTTTTATATCATTTTCAACCATGATCTTCTAGGAGAACAATAATGTAAAATTCACCTGTGTAGCAATGAGTCTCTGCCTTTAGATGGTGAGAATAAATATGAAATAATCAATACGTGTAACAGCACATTAAGACGCTGGAACCATCTATATTGAGCCAAGCACATGGAAATATAGTGAATCTTAACCAGATTTCCAAATAAGCTGAGGAAGAGGGAGATCCAGCCCCTGTAACACTTGTGGGGTGCCCACCGTATTTTCCCGTCTACATCTCAGTAGTGTACAATTCTTTCTAGGAAGAAAGTGTTCACAGAATTCAAAATGATAGGGAAAAAACAATAAACTTAGGTACTGGATATGTTCTTTTATTTTATAAAATTTATTGCCTTTTTTTTTTTTTTTAAGACGGAGTCTCGTTCTGTTGCCCAGGCTGGAGTGTAGTGGCACCATCTCGGCTCACTGCAACCTCTGCCCTCCGGGTTCAAGCGATTTTTCTGCTTCAGCCTCCTGGGTAGCTGTGACTACAGGCACATGCCACCACACCCAGCTAATTTTTTGTATTTTTAGTAGAGATGGGGTTTTTACCGTATTAGTCAGGATGGTCTCAATCTCTTGACCTTGTGATCCACCTGCTTCAGCCTCCCAAAGTACTGAGATTACAGGTGTGAGCCACCATGTCCGAATTTATTGCCTTTCTAAAGGGCAAGATTTATTCAAGCCTGTGCCAGATATTTTCTTCATTACAAGATGACTCTTTGGCAAACACATGCTATTGACTCTTGAATTTTCCAAAGGCGAAATGGAAAATTTCAGTAATTTTGTTTCCAGCTGTCTTTACAGATTTATATTTGAACCTTAATCCTATTGGAAATCATCTGAAACTCGTGAAACACACAATTGGAAAATTAATTAGGGAGAAACCAAGGGAAAGAATAGCAATATTATCTATTACACCTATTTAGAACATTCTCTTGAGATCTGGTTATTATTTTTATTAGAGATGTGAATCTGTGATAACAGCTCTAGGCCTCTTGTGTTTGGACTTTAATAAATTGTACTCTGCTAGCTTAGGAAGATTAAGTTTAATTAAATTTATTGGTTAATAATTCTCTTTTACGTAGTTAGTAAATATTCAGTTGAAGTTTATTGAGCATGTGCTATCTTTCAGATTCTGCGCTAGGTATAGCGCCCACAAAGTTGGGAAAGACTTTGTTGTGCCTTCAAGAGCTCATGATTCCACAGAGAGAGTTAGACATGTCAGCCAGGAATCCCAGGGACAGGTGGAACGCCCAGTGCTGTTTTATGCATTGCATGATACCGCAGGACAGAGGCATCATGAGAACAGCTATCTTGCTTTTCTAATGTAAGAACAGATTTTATCCAAAACATGTCAATATTGCTTTAGATGTCCCTGGATTTGTTTTATTCTTTCCCAGAAGAACCAAGAGAAAAAAACATCAGGCAGACAGGCTTAGGAGCCACTCTTCCCTGAATGATGTCCTTCCTTCTTGGATCCTGCTGTGCCCACTCGGGGCCGTGTGGGACTTGTCTATAGATGGAGCAGAGCCTTAGTTGCCTTCTTGTACTTTAGCTTCTTCACAGTTTTAAAATGCCTTTTTAGAAAATGTAAGTAAAGTTCTTAGCCAGTTGGATTCGTATTTATCTATTTTTCTTAGTCCACTATGAAGCATATTTGCTGCCGTCTGAGAATCCTGACTACACAGTGTTATCCAGAGAGCGTGTGTGCTGGGGAAATTGAGAAAGCCTCTCTTGTGGCATAAACATTGAGGGGGACACTTTAAGGAAACCGTAGAGAAAGCAAACCTTTCTTAACAGCTCTGTGCATTTCACTGGCTTCTTGCTGTGTGAAAATATGGAGTGCTCTTTATGCTAATGATGTGAAATACGATTTCTTAGCTAGATTATGCTGCTCTTTATGTGGAAAAAATCCCAGTGTCTGACTCACCTATATAAATGTAACATTGTCACTTATAGGGAATATATAGAAAAATGTTTCTATGTCAGATACTCTGAATGTTTTACCAAGCAATGAAATACTGTTCTCCCTATTGTAGAATAGGCGCTTCACAATGAGTTATTGAGTTTTTCTTTTGTCATGTCTTGAAGACATGTCACTGTCTTCATGGCAATGCATGCTTTTAGAAAAGCAGTTATAATTCCAGTATTTCTTTATGAAATGATATTCACTAGGCAAATTATGTGCACCTAATTTTCTTTCTGTTGTTGCAGTATCATGTACTCAACCAAACAAATCAGGAGAGACCCTGAATTACCTCTTATCTGTCTCACTGAACATAGTTGACATTTTGCTGAGTCATAGGAATCTAGTTAATTCTGGTTGCTTTCTTTCTGTGACTTAACAAGTTGCTCACAAAGAAGAAAATTGTATACAAAATATGCAGTTCAGAATCATCTAATGATATATTCAAGGTGTAACGCTCCTGTTTCACAGAAATATCCTAATGTGTGACAGAAAACTTATGTCTAACATTATTAGATCAATAACCATGCTAGAAGAGGTACCCTTTTTATGAGAAAATATATGACATGCCTGAAAGTACAGTGATTACAGGATTGGACTGCGGGACTCAGAGGTAACCTTTGGGGTGCTTCTGTTACCCATGGTTACACATGGGAACAAAGTTACCCAAGGTGGGAATGGTCCCAGGGGCTCCTCAAGTTTGACGGTGGGGGAACACCAGGAGCAGGAGGGCTCTGAGGGTCCTTATGGTCTTGTGACAAATAAGGTGATATGGGTCAAACACTACTTAACCCCCAGCAGTTCTTTTAGAACAGAGCTGAAGCAATAGTCACCCTGAGGTGAGGGTGACATGCAGGGGTCCTTGGGTTGGAAAGGGCAGGGCAAGTTCCTGCAGTGCTCAAGTTATCAGGCAAAAAGGAGGAGCCTCCATCTCCTGTAGGCAAATGTCCCCCAGTGATTCCCTCTGAAGAGGTCTGCAGAGTGGGCTTTATTCAGTTCATCACTGCAGGTGTTGCCTTTCCTGGGTCCTGGCTTCACGCACTGAAAACTCTGACCTGAATACCTGGTGCACCTCACCTGTCTCATCCCCCACAGGTTCTGTGCAGGGGTACTGTGAGAATTTCTAGCCGCTCTTGAGATTTGGGCACAGAATTCACACTACCTCTGTGTGTGTGTACCTAAAGAACCTAAGCATCAAATTGAGTTTAAAGTCGTGTTGGATGGGTGGTGCACCCAGACATCCTGCAGAATTGAGAAAATGTGGGACATTAGGGAACTTTGAGGGCTAATGGACCTGTTTTGTGCCTTTATTATGGTGGAGGTTACATGGCTGAATGCATTTGTCAAAACAAATAGAGCTGTACGCTTTTAAAAAATTAAATACATTCTCTGGAATTTTACTCTGTGTAAATTATAGTGCAATGTAAATTTTAAAAATTTAAAAGAATTAAAAATGGAGTGAAGGTTGCCATATATCCTAGAATATATTCATATATATTTTTGGACTATTATTTCTCCCAGGCTGCAATCTGCATGTTAACCATATCACGGTATTTTTCCCGGCAGCTGACTGTGATGCCCCACTGGCCTCTGCCTTGCCTAGGTCATCCTTCAGCAGCTCCTCAGAGCTGTCCAGCAGCCACGGCCCTGGGTTTTCGAGGCTCAATCGAAGAGATGGTGAGTCTGCCTTTTGCCTTGTATTGCTCCTTGGTGACTCTCATTGGATTTTCATTTAACGACATAATTATAATTGATTAATACTTTGCAGAAGGAAGTAAAATTCCGAATAAGCGTATTTGTTCACATTTGAAACTCCAAGAATTTATTTGACAGGAATAAATTGATTACTTCGGCTTCCTGGTCCTGCCGGGTCTCCCTTGGTACAATCTTTGTGTGCCTTGAATGAGTCACACCTGACTTTGTCAGTGTTTGAACTCTTTGTATACCCCTTGCAATATCTGATTATTATTTGTGAAAGGCCTTAGATTCTGCCATGTCCTTTTTTTTTTTTTTTACCTTGGATTCTTTTTTTCTGCCACAGTATACATTTTGTTGTCCCAGATTATTTAATTATTCCTATTTGGATGAGAAAATAGGCAAAGTAAAGAAGCGTTTAAAAAGATTTTTATTGTGTTTTAACTGCAATTCTTAGTTTATTTCTTATTATGGTGGACTTGATTCTCTCTTTAGCATCTACTATAGAGAAGTAAGCATGTGATGGTTTATTCATGCTCCACTGTGACGATTCCATTCATAGTTGTAAACATATCTCGTGAGGACTGTGTTTCTTTTACATATGCTTTAGCAGAAGTGCAGAAAATTGAATGTGGTCTTGCTGTGTAAATTAGAGGGAACTTTAAACACCAAATATATCGTGACAGGGAATCATCCTGGCATTTTCTGAGCATAAACTCAGGTGGAATGTCTTTGAATAAATTCTCAGAGGAAATTAAATTTACACTATTAATAAAATGTATTTGTAGGCGTATATTAAAAACTGTATTTTATGTAATTATGCATTCTTGTTTTCTTATTGCCCTTGTTCTTTTTTTTTTTTTTTTTTTTGAGATGGAGTCTCACTCTGTCACCCAGGCTGGAGTGCAGTGGCATGATCTCGGCTCACTGCAAGCTCCGCCTCCCGGGTTCACGCCGTTCTCCTGCCTCAGCCTCCCGAGTAGCTGGGACTACAGGCGCCCGCCGCCACGCCCGGCTAATTTTTCATGTATTTTTTTTTTAAGTAGAGATGGGGTTTCACCGTGTTAGCCAAGATGGTCTCGATCTCCTGACCTCGTGATCCACCCTCTTCAGCCTCCCAAAGTGCTGGGATTACAGGCGTGAGCCACCGTGTCCAGCCTCTATTTTTTTTTTTTTTTAAACTCCCTGTTGCATTTCTTGGTGTTTTCTGTATTTAAGCACATTTAGTGCATTATACATTGGACCAAATAAATATGTTCTGGCATTTGTTATAGGCAGTATGGTTATGAAGCATGAGCAACTTAAGTTTTCATTTTTCTTTTTATTTTTCTTAAGTCTGTGATTTCGTTTGTTGCAGAGATTTGGGCTCTGTTTTGTTACTTTAGATTTTATTCCTGCAGAGACTCAGTGGATGGTCTTTATTTTTGGAACAGTGACTAAGCCTGGGCACAGGGGATAAGGGAAAACAAGGGTAGTCTCAAGCCATAGCTCTTCTTGATGTCAAATCATATTTTGTCCTGAAGTACATGACTATGGCATTCTTTATCATAGGGATCGTTTTTATTCTTAGTTCATGTTCCTGTAATTCATCATGCAAAAAAGCATGATATCAATCTTAATAAAATTTATTTTCATGTTAATGAAGTTAGGAAAACAGGTCTATTTTATTACTTTAGCTAGCTACCAACTGAGTTTATTACAAATTCATTGCTGTTGCTTTTTTTAATTGGTTTTGACTTTTTTCTTCTCCCTCATGGTAGCCTACAGTATTCATCAACGGAGTTCCAAATTGGGAGTGATTTATTGAAGGCTATAGATTATCTCTAGTGTTTTAATATCCTTTATTAGTTTCAGAATGGTCTATGGAAGAGTGACTGAACAAATGTTCTGATCATAAATAATTAAACTAACAAATAATGACCCCCGTCTCAGACGTTAAAGCCTTTCTCCAGTGGTGTGTCAAGATCTCAGAACTGAAAATTAGCAGGCAGAAAACAAGGAGTTTCCCAGTTGTGCAGCCCAGTGCCTTGTACCAATGTGATGGGAAGATGCCATGGTAACAGCTGAAGCCTTGGCCTGAGGGGTGAGAGGGGAAGAAGGTAGCTATGCATCCCGTCTGGCCCAGTGTAAGGGATCAAAATGGACTTTTTGGAGGTGTCTTTCTTCATGCCTCTTGGATGCCACACGTACACTAGTTCTTCCATGAGGAACCCATAGGCCAAACAAGTTAATGCACTTTTATAAGGAACTTATTTAATTCCCTTTAATGGGGAAGACTCAATTTTTCCACCAAAGGTTTCATAAGTTATGAAGTATAATCCAGAATTACTTTCAACTTGCAAAAATGCACTATCATGAATATTGCACAGATGGGATTGTAACTAATTGAATATGTTTTTGCTTTCCACATCTTCATAGTTAGAATTTCAGTACAGCCTCTAACATGGTATTGGTTAGTTTGAGGGTAAAGTGACCTGCTGTAATTCTTTTTTTTTTTTTTTTTTTTTTTTTT